ATCGCCCAGGAACCGATGCTCCGACAGCATCTCGGGCAAGGGTCTTTCCCGTATAGGCTCCCGGATATCCACCATCTCCACGAGGTGGAAATCCAAACGGGCCTCAGATGGAACTGATGGGGCAGATGCATTCGTAACGCACCTGCGTTCCCGGACCAACTCAGCATCATCAGCCATCGTTAGCCCCGTGACAGGCTCATTTAGCCGCGTCAGCTCCATTCAAGTGCCACCATCCCCAGCCCGGACAATTTTTGAGGAGGAACTGAGCGAGTCTAGCACACAGCCAATTGATATTGTCCGCTCGGGCAGATACAGTCAAGACGATTCGGGTCCGCAGGCAACAACCCCATTACTTCCACCTTTTATGGGTGATGAACCATCCTACCCTGCCGCCTTTCGTGTTCACTCCCCGTTGCAATCACCTTCTGTGGCTGATATGACTGACGATGGCCTGAACAATCCCACTGTGTTGGACAGGCGATTGGCAGGCTTGCCGTCACCGCCTCTATCTTCGAAGCCATCTGTTGCCTCTTTTAGTCGTCCGCGTGCCAGCACGGTACGGACAGTGTCGGGGGATGCGCCCCCATTCACCCTCTCAGATCCTAACGATGAATGGGCGAACAAGTTGGGACACGCCAACTTCACTATCCAGCCTGAGCCTTACATGCCCGAATTGATCGACGTTGATTCCCTTCAGCAATTGCGCACCAACTGGGATCTTGCGCAGTGCAATTTCGCTCGTCATCTCGTGCGGACAGGGGAACACTATGGTATCACCTCAACAATCTACAGGCTGACTGAGGAAAAATGGGAGGCGATCAATCGCGAGTGGAAGAGTCATCATGGAGCAATGCTTTCTCACCTAAGAGGTACAGAAGGAGTGCGACTCGACTTGGTCCGTTCGCACTGTGACCCTTGCCATCCGGTCAAATTACCGCGCTTGCATGACGACAAGTTTCCCGAATTAGGCGACGGCGAGATCGTCGGACCGATGAAGATTGCCCCCGCCGTCAGCGGCTCAGGCCTTTGTCGAAGCCGCTCGCTCAAACGCAACTTTCTCAAATTCTTCCAGGATCTCGTGATTCGGTCCTGATCCTTCACTTAATGACCACAAACTTCACTGCGGGAGGATTCGATGTACAACATCTTACGAATGCTACGCCTCTTGAACAGTCCGCTCGATTCAGCGCGTGATGACTAATGCATATGATTTCTTTGCGTCTTTCTGCCTATGACTCTGTGATCCAATAATGATGACTGATGACCTGTTTTTGTACCTGTGACTACTGTCTCATAGAGTGCATTCCATTCCTTGATGCTTAATTGAGCGAAACCCCTGGTTCTACTTGTTCATCTGTGCCCTTCCGGCTATTTCCTCAGACCAATATGGAACGGTCGTGCTGTACTGCGCCTGCCGCCACATTATTACTGTGTATGCATATGCATAGTTTTGCGATTCATGTCTTGTCCATGGTGTGCACCTTGCATCGGGTTCCTTGCCTTGGTGGGAAATCTACATAAGGTGCTAATAGGCATGACAAGAGCGGTGGCAGGCTATTCCTAGCTACCCAACTCTTCGGTCCGCAGGACAGGATGAATGGCAGGAGGACCATGCTGAAAGAACTAAGTACATGTTCTGAAGTTAACCAAAGAAACGGAAAATAATTGAGATACCAAGGGGAAGGGGGAGGTGTTGCAGCATTTGCGCCTTATACCCCTGAGACATACATTTTACCAAGATTCGTTTCTCCCAGAAAAGTCCACATAGCTACATCCTCACACATACACAGATAGAATTTGATTGGATGCAAGTTCTGACATCGGGGGTGTATGCTTTCGCAAAGGAAACCAAACATGTTCATATCTTTGTACATATAAATAGTGTATTCACATTTATATTCACAATAGCTGCAAAGCTTCTACCCTCCCGGCATTCATCACTGTCTCTTGGAATCCGTATACAAGTAGTCTTCTAGTCCTTGCTACTGAGAAGATGCCTACAGATATGAGAACTTTGAGAACGAAAGCTAGCAGTTGATGGGGCGGGGACAGTGGCTTTGCCGGAACAAAAGAACCGACCAAGCCGAGCAAATCCCCCACACCACGAACGACTGAGTGAATGCAGCACAATGCCACGTGATAAAGCTGCTATCACTGGCTACACCCAGTACTGGCTCCAGAGACGCTTTGCTTCCTCATCGCCACGGAACTGGAACTCTACGCGAATGATATCTTTGAAACCCTCGTCCATGGAAGGCTCCTTGAAGCGACGAAGGAAGTCCCCGAAGGCGATGCCGGGAAGAAGGGTACGGGATTCGGGATTCTGCAGTCCCCGCATGTGGGCGGGATGATCAGTAAAAATTCAAACTTCTGTGGATTTTTCAGGGAAAGAAAGAGAGGGGATGGGTGGGGGAGGGGGTGTTCGAATGACGACAGGTGCGGGGTGCACCATGGCAGAATTAGAATCAACAATGGAGGATCAACAGAAAGAGTGATGTTCCAATTTCATGGAGAACTGGGGAGGGGGTGGTGGTGGGATAGTGAGGGCTTGGGGCAAGGGAAAGACAGCTCAGACAGCTTAACGAGGGTAGATACACGTGATATGATATAGATGAGCTAAATTCATATTCTGCACTATGCTGGCTCTGAACAGGGGCTTTTTCAGCTGATAGATACTTGTGAGGTACTGAGTGTCTTGTACCCTGTACGCTCCGAAGAAAGCGAGCGGATGACGTAAAGAAGAACACTGGAAGACGTACCAGGGATAGGTTAGCGGCACGGACCGCATTGTTATGTCGGCAGAGGGTCGGGGAAGCAGTGAAATATACACAGCGAATCGGCACCTTGAACTCCCTGGCTACTGCAACCCAGTGGGCTCTCGTCTCTGCGTCGGCATTGGTATTATCTGTGTAGCGTATGGCATGCCGCCAAAAAGTCAACAAGTCATCCAACTGACGCTCTCCACGGTCTGCTGGGTCTGGTGCAAACATTGCGACGTGGGCGGGCCAAAGAGAGGGTTTGGAGCAGTAACGAGGGTGTGGGCTGGATGATTGCGAAATGTCCGCGTAACATGCGAGAGTGGGCGCTGTACGTACCAACCACCACAGATTTTCCGGCCGCAAGGTGTTCCTTTGCCACTTTTATGCACTTAGGGCGCTATCGCAAACAATCGGTTGGTCAGTTTCCTTGTTGACATGGACTTTCCTCGTATATATTCATCTGACACTGCAGCAAGGGCCCCGATTGCTTTTTTTGTTGAGGTGCTCTGACTCATCTGCTCGGGTCTCATTGGAGTATGCAAATTGACAAATGCAGACAGAAGAAAGTGAGGTCGCCTCGGACAAGGTAAGAAGAGTAGACGTACAGTTTTGAGGAGGTCTTGGTTGACTCGTTCGTAGTCCAAGGGTTCTAAATAGTCCCAGTAGAACGTTGACTTGCCCGCTCCCGGGCTGCCGCAGAAGATCACCAATTCAAGTGGGCTCTCTCCCGAGAAGGCAGGCGACACTGCTCCGTCCGTTATTGAATATCGAAGATAGACCCGTGGCGGGTTCGCAATCATACTACATGAAATGACATACCCTCGTCACCAGGAGCTTCTTGCAGATACGTGGACGGGTCGAACGGTTCCACGAGTGGTTCTGGATCAGCGTCCAGGAAAAACTCCTCGGGAGTCTTGAAGGACAGTCCAGCATTGATAGCGAACCCACTTGAGCCGCCGTTAGCGAGGGAAAGGAATTTGGTCAGTTTCTGGCTCACCGATCTACTTGCGAGTGGTCTCTCGGCCGTCCAGCTGCATCACCAACAAAGACAGAATGGCGGAGGTCGACACCAGAAATGTCAAAGTCATAGTCGTCTAGGAATTCTGTCCACAGTCCTGTTCTGGGTTTCCGATAACCATCATCCTCTGTGGCAGCGTAGACACTCATTGGGATATCCAGTTGCTTCATAACAGCAGCAGCTCTTTCCTTGAAGTTTGTAAGACTCTTCGAGTCGCTGTTGCCCACCTTGGTATCCTTCTTCAAGCTGATCTTTTTCTGATTCGTGATGATGATCACATAATATCTTCGAAATCAGCAACTGGAGACTGTTGTAGCAATGGAAGAGCTTCCGTCATTTCATCACATACCCTTTCTCATTTAACTCTTGAAGTTTGGTCGGAACCTTACTATGCCACCACTTCCAGTCTGCTGGGCCTTTAGGAAATGTGTTTCCCGAAGCTGTAGACACTAGGGTCGAGTCCTGCGATGGTGCGTCGGTTAGCATGGGGAGGCCTTTCTCACTGTGAATTGAGTCCAGTCTCATGATCCTTACCAGATCGAAGGCAGCAACTTTGGGCTTTTCGGCCGTCTGTTTGCGCTCGGCTTCGGCGACATACTTACCTATTATCGCGCTGTTGTTCACCACGCGCCAAGTGATTTGCTCAGGTTTCTTTTGTGAAGCAGGGGTAAAAAACGAGGACACAGCTCTCTCTATAATGGTGGCGTCAGTTAAGGCCGCGAGCAATCGCTGACAGATGTAAAAACCCGGGCCTTAATCTGCACAATGATCTTGACTTACTAGTAATGGTGGATTCCGCCTTTCTCTTGACCGGAGGCGGAGAGATGGCGCGACTGGGGGACGCTGCTCGTTTGGTGGCCCCAGCACCGGCCATTTTAAGATAATGCAGGCGGGTGATAATCTTGATGATGTTTCGGGGTTGATGGGTTTTCTTCTCTAAAGGGCTCTAAGCGAGGCGGACGAACTGAATGGGCAGCTGGTGATTGGGAGAGTGTGTGCCCGGCTCTACCCACGAGTCGAAAAGTGGTAAGGGAGACGCGCGGGTACGCGCGAAAAGCCATCACGAGGTCACATGTTCAAATGTCACTTTGCTGCAATTACCAAAGCCGACCAGTGCAACCGCCAAAGACTGATATGTAAATGGTGGATTTTTAAGTTCTAGGTCGTCAGCTGCTATCTTTGGTTCTCAAACACATCTTGCGACTTTACTCATACTTAATCATCATCTGAAGCATCGGATGTACATTGATAATAGAGCTAAACCACAGGAACAGAGAGCTAATATAGCTCCGGGGGTATAAAACATTGCGAAAGAAGCAAGCGCCAGATTGCATCAGTTACTTCGCTCGGGTATCCAGAGACAGCCTATCTGCTTGTTCGAGACGTACAGCCGACTTGAGCTGCTCTCGAAGCCCGAACAGATGCTGAGACGCCGTCTTCATCATTTCCTGGTTGCTTCCGTCCTGGACAGTAATTGCGGCTTGCAGAACATAACTACCCGTTCGCTCGAGCGGGGTGAGCTCGTGATATGCAGGTAGCTCTTGTCGAGGGCCATGTGAATCCTGCGACTCCGCCTGGGGGTACAGCAAGACGCGATGGAGGAAGATGACGATATCATTTTGGACGAAGACGTCTCCTTCTACCATGTACTCGGTAACAAAACTGAGCTGGAATGTCAGTTTTTTCGGCTGCAGTCGTCTAGATACGAGTGGGGGAAGTAACGGGCGTATCAGCTACAGGGGAGAAGACCGACCTATAGCCCCAGGCATTCATGGGAACTGCAATATCACCTTTAGGCAAGCTTGCACTTGCCATTAAGCGAGTGGTCACGGCCGATCGAGTACCAGCCTCGGGAATGTCTCTGAACTCCAATCTCCAGGGTTGGTTTTCGTAGCAGTAGGCAGACTGGTCGGTTCCAGACATAGACACATCTGCATCATGGGAGGCTGACATGGCCGACGAAGAGGTCGCGCCAAAATCCGCCTTGGTCACAGGGCCAACGACCTGGGTGTAGTACATGCCCCCATTCAACATCTTGTTTAAACGTTGCATGTCGGCGCCCTGCACATCCTGACTGGCTCCCACACGGGTGGTGACTAGGCCTGGCTTGCGATAGGCCTTGAAGACCAGCCGTCTCTCCAAGCGGTGACGCGGTTGCATGGCTGTCAAGCCGGCCAGCTGTTGGAGGAGCTCATGATGCTGATGGGCTGGGACCGAGGCGAAGAGCAGAAGCTCATGCATGATCACAAGGGAAATAAAAATCGGAATCAAGAGGAGGGAGGGGAGGGGGGAGGGGGGAAGAAGGGGGATAAGGTGTGCCTAACTCCGTCTCGCAGGTTCGGCGCCGCGATTCTGTCGGTGCTTTTTGGAGGTGGTTTCGGGGGACTTTTGGAGGGATTTTAGGTAAGCTTGCCGATAGCTTGGAGGATTGGGCCTTGGAGCCTTGGAGCCTTGGAGCCTTGAAGTTCCCAAAAAAAGAAAAGAAGCGGACGGCAAGCTCAGGCAGGGAATACGGGTAAACCCGGGATGGGAATTGGTCTCAAGAAGGGAAATTTTCCACCCGGCACTTCTTCCGAGACCCAGAGGTAGTAGATGAACGGTACTACTACGGTAGTACAACACCCTACGTACTTCCTCCGGCGTAGTGATGAATGACAAAAGGAATCAGTGCCAGTTTTATAGTTCCCTATCTTGGTAAGACATGTACTGTACCTACTCGGACTCAAGTACTATGACTCCATAGTCCATACTGATGGTATATACATAGTAACGAAATACGGATACGTAGTATGTATGTGTATGCGATGCGGGGATGAACATCCGAGAGGGGGAAAGTCAAAATTCCCCATCCTCCTCGTCCTGCCTCCTCCTCCTCCTCCTCCTTCTCCTCCTCTCTCCCCAGGCCATAACGTGATGATCACGCCAGATGGGCAATCAGACGATGTGTCTGAGTGAGTATGGGCGGAGAGTCCAGTGAAGTAAGGATGGTATGTACGTAGTGTACTTTCGTAGTCGTACTACTCAGATTACCTAGTACATACCAGTACGCCGTACTCCGTAGTATGTCGAGATAAGACTGGTTACACCATCGTGACCTAAGTTTTGAGTACTGCAGCCATCCCAGACTGCTCCCAGCGTTAGTCAGGCACGACTCCTTCACCGAGATTGCGGGTTTAGGCAAAGCTCGGGGCAGCCCGACATCCTTCGGAGCCGTTGATTTGGGGAAAGATGAGGGGAAACGCATCCCTGGATTCTCTCCAGCGGTCCAGCAGCCGGTGGCTTCATTGATAGGTGAGTGTTGTCAGATCACGCCACAGAAAGAGGAATGTTTCCCGCCGGGCGAGATCACTCGAGAGATGAAGAGGGAGAATTTAGCCTTTCGGGGGGTAAAATCCGGCGGCCGGTGGTGGGTGTGGTTGTTGTTAATAATTAATCACCCGTCATTAACTAACAGTTAACTCGAACTCCATACTAACTTATGTGTCGGAGGAGCTCTTATCAGAAGAAAAAACCCACACCCTCGCTTCCGCTCCTCGACGACTCGACCGATCACCGACCGACGTCGTGTTCCATTCGCCTTTTTCCTCTTCCTCTTCCTCCCCCCCCCCTCCCTCCTCCTCCTCCTACTCCTCCACCGTCTACACTTAATTCAATCCCTCTCTTCCACCCCTCCCACCCCTCAATCTTCCTCCTCCTCTATACTTACAGTCCTCTCTCGCCGATTGCCTATATAATTGCCTTCAAATCATTCCTGGAATTTATCAACTTGCCGTACCTACGATCAACTTCCCGCCCTTACTCATTTCTCCACCCGGTTTTTATCGCCCACATCGGTCGCTTCGGACAGTCCCGGAAAGCTCCCTCGAGTGCTCAACACGCCTTTCTTTCTCTTTCCCTAGACCTCTTCTCCCGTCGATACAACTCGATCAAAAATCTTATTCTACACTATCACGATGCACGCCACCATGGTCCTCCGTAACGCTGCTCGCACCCCCCTCATCCGTTTCCTCGGAAAGCGTTCTGTACCTAGTTGGTCTCTCCGTCTTGTCTGACTTCTCCACGGATCCAATTGTCTAACGCGCGCCTTACCAGAGTCCATTGACCACACTCCTCGTGCTCACCCGGCTTCTCCTACCGGTGTCCTTCCCGATTCCTTCGCCGCCTATCGCTCCAAGGCTCAGCAGCACGGTCCCCTGGGCCGTGCCTCTTTCTCCCAGGGCATCGGTCGCGCCTCGGGCGCTTCTCTGGGACCCATCCACCCTAAGCAGGGTGAATTCTTCGACCGTGCTGAGCTGCCCACCCGTTTCCACCGCCTGCCCTGGACCGAGGCCGAGATCGAGGCCGTTGAAACCGGTGGTGCCAGCCTTTTCGCCTAGATGCCAAAGAATGTCCATTGAGGAGATGACGCGACGATAAAGGTCATTTAACATTGACGGGATGCACGACAAATGATGTCACGTTGCGATGAGAGACTCGTGGCCTGGGCCACGGCACCTGCGCGCCCCCGTCAGGAAGGACTACCAGGGACTCCGTGAGGGTCACCGTCTTCCCTCGCATCACCTCAACTTGCACGTCACTTTATTATTCGGGACCGGAAGCGCTATCGCATACTGGTGATGGGTCGTTCAGTTGGCGTGCTCAACCTGGAGGCAGATCCGGTTCCTCTTCTCTTCTTTCCGCCTCTCCTTCTCTCATTCTCTGATTCGAACATGGCGCTGGTGGTTGCTAGTCTTCATGCTTAGCGGTTTAAGATTTTTGTTCTTCTTTTGGGGCGTGCTTGCTACATGTGGGATAAGCTTTTCTCTGTCTGTTTGGGACATGCTGAGGTCTATTGAGATCTATTCAGACTCTTGTGTATAGCTGATTCGTTGATCCGGATTGAAAAGTCTGCTGGAAATAGGGTTTTGTACACGGGCGGAGATGCTTTGGTCTCTATAATGAGACTCTGGGGAAGGCCAATCAATAGGATTCAATTATGAATCCGGAATTCTACAGCTTTGATGAAACCTAATCTCTACTCCGTGATCTACCGTAGAGATAGAGTTATGAGGATGTCAGGGTTAATGATTAAAGAAAGTATTGAGTATATGTACTCCGTGTCTACATATATAGATACCTCTTTGCACGTGCTGCTGCAGGGGTCTTAGCGTCGTCGGTCTCGACCGCGCAAGCAACCTCCAATTAACCACCATACATGACTTGATCTTTGCACTTTGAACTTTGCACCACCTCCGCTCAATCCCAGAATTCCATTTCCTGGTCGATTCAAACTTTCTTTTTTTTTTTTTTTTTTTTCTCATGAAAAGGATGGCCTTCAACAGGGGCTCGGAACCCATCACTTTCAACGAAATAGACGAAGCCAACCATCCTACAGCCACCTATGTCTATACTCAATCAACTCAATCTCTGCCATTGGAGCATGGCAACGCCCGTGCAAACAGCGGGCGTATAGATCTACTGGTCAGTTGAAACAGCATCGCCCTCCCTGGTTATACTTGTGTGAACGCTATCAAGCGCTAAAATGACATGTGAGCTGATTGTTTTGCCAGCACAATCCCTCCAGCTTATCCACAACTTCATGGTCTTCCAAGGCACTACTGGACACCCTTGCGGACGTCTTTCTCCCCACTGGATATCCGCACAGTGTCACTGAAGACTACACCCCGTAAGTCTGATAAATTGGTCTGGACCATGATTCTGAATTCTGACTAATAAGAGCTGCAGCTACCAGATCTTTGTATGTTTGTGTTCACAGCGTCCATCGCAAGCGATCTATCTCCAGCATAGACATCGATGCTCCCCCCAGTCACAGTATGACTGACCACGGTTCATTAAGGACTCCCTTCAAGCATTTAGCAGCTCTATCGCAGGTCTCCTGTCATCCAGAGCCGTCTTACAAGGTTGGTCATACCGCATATAACTTCACGCTGCCACAATCACAGGGTAAACACTAATAAACAATCTACAGGCGTTGGTGTCGGCAACGCTGATGCATCACCTACTTCAGCTCTACTCCTTCATATCCTCCAAGACTCATCTGGCCGCATCGCCACCATTCTCTTCGCGCATCGGATCGGTACCGCGCTCGAGCCAGAATGTAAGAAGTATCGGCTTGCTGCCGACATTTTCAACGATGCGGCCATGATCTTGGACTGTCTTTCGCCCATGGTCCCAGCGGGTGCTCTTCGAATTCTCGTACTCAGCACAGCAGGCATTCTTCGTGCCCTCTGCGGCGTCGCAGGTGGGAGTTCCAAGGCGAGCTTGAGTGCGCACTTTTCTCGATGGGGCAACCTAGCGGAGGTCAATGCTGTAAGTAGTGCGCACAGCTCACCCTTGTGGTGACCCGTCTCTATGTCCTAGGTCAAGAGAGGTAACATCGTTTTCAACATCAGAAAGACTCGTCTCAGGAGACCATCATCTCTCTCGTTGGCATGCTGGTACGCTCCTCCTTCCCTGCCTCCCACGGATCCCACCCTACCCTGCACGCTACATGCATGCATCCACGCATGCATAACAGCGCTAGCTGACAGGTTACAATGAAAAAGGTTGGGTCTTTCGTCGTCTCGCATGTGACAGGTTTCGCTGCAACCTGGATCGTCCTTCTAATGCTTTTGGCCCTGCATTTGAGTCTGAACTATGCAGCCGTCTGCTCCGTTCAAATGACGAGTCTGAACAGGCAACGGGCGAACATTGTCTTCTCCACCATTCTCAACACTGACGGGGACTTGTCGCAATTGATGGACCAGGGCTCCGGCACTAGCACCAGAACTCACAGCGAACCACTCGTCCCCAAGACAACTATCTCTCCACACAACCCGAGTGCGAATTACGACCGACTGCAAATCCTCACACCATCCCAAGTCGCCAAACAGGAGAGGATCTTCGAGACAGACGGCGTTCTCCGATGGTCATCCCCAGTCCCAACCAGCACCGCCGCCATACACCACTTTCCAGCCGGGTTGTGCATCGGCACCTGCCAAATCGGCGTCTCCCTTCGCCAATTTCTCCTCCGTCCATCCTCCTCCTCCTTCTTTTCCTTCTCCTCCCTCGCCCTCAGGACCACCCGGTCCTCCAAATCCCTGCAGACTAACATCCCTCTCTCGCAACTCTCTACCCTCTTCACAGACGAACACTACATCCTCTTCCTAAGTTGCTTCAAGGGCAAATGGCACGCCAACATCCTCCTGAAATCCAGCTGCACCCCGCAGAGCCAGCTGAAAGGCTGGCTACACGCCTTGCTCGCCGCAAGAGTTCTTTCTTGCAGTCACCCCCGTTCCCCCGGAGCGAACTCATCTGAGAAAAAGGGCCAGCCGGAGCTGGACGGGAGCATCAGTTCCATTCTCGACGTTCTTCACCGCACATTGTCCTTTCTGAATGAAGACGGCCGGTACGAGCGGTACATGGCCGCCCTCGAAGATGCAGGGTGGGATCTCACCACCCGGGCGTTGGAGACCAAGTCGGGGAGAAGAGTCTGTTGATAGTAAAATCCTCCAGTCAATTACAAGCAATAATAGTCCGCGCTGCCTGGCAACTGTGCCTGTCCCTGCCTGATGAACGACTTCTCTCATCACCTCTCGTAAACAGAGGCATGATGTTCCAGGTTCCTCCAACAGTACTACACAAAAGTC